TTCTGCATTTTGGTACCTGCTGCTGCTTGTAGATGTTCCACAATTGGCTGCTTGATCATCAATGCAGGATTTCAACGAAGACACTACAACATGCTCCTTTTGTTTTTTTGGGAGTTTTTCTACAATGTCCTTAACATTTCGATGAGCATACGTTTTAGAACATTTGTGCCTAATTCCTTTTCCGGTTTTTTGAAAGCAAATTTGACATATTGGCTCGGATTTTTGCTTTTGATTTGTTACCTCATGGCCCATGGTTCCTACTTTTACTACTGAAGAACTTTTGTGGCCTTTATGTCTAGTCGTTTGACACAGTAAACAATTGCATATTCGGGTGGTGTTTCTAGTTTTAGCATGCAAGACTATTTTGAGGAGTCACGGGGAAATTTCTCTTTAACACATCTTTTTCTCTATCAAAGAGAACAAGGCGACAATTTCCACAAATAGACGTGGGATATCTTGAGTCGCTTTTATCAAATTTATGCGCATGCGAATACTTACAAATAAGCTTGTGCAATTTTTCTGTCAAGTTAAACACTGAGGCTTTCGACTTCTCAAATACGATTTTAGAACCACACAATATACACACTTTTCGTCGATTTTCTTCATGGTCCGCTTCTTTCGGCATTATCAATTTAAATTTTAATACTTAGTCTTTGTATATGATTTTTTCTTGCTGGAGTTTTAAATGACGGTTTCGAATATTCAAGATGTCATTTTGACACTAGCCTACTTTATTGTATTATCACGTTCCACCTTTTTTTACAGATATTCTTAACCAGTGACAAAAACTTGAATTTTGGTAAAACAGTAAAAAAAACAGATTGTTTTCTGATCAGCTTTGATTTAACAACTAGTTTTGGTTCCGCCAGATAGTCCATAAAAGGAATATATAAAGGGTTTTCGTTGACATTTTTGAAATGCCTATTTTTTGCTAAGGGACACTGTGTAAAGCATGCAAATATTGTCTAGAAAATAACGGTTATATGCAAAACTGGCTCTTTTTTTGACGTCTTACTTGCAAAACTAGCTCTTTGCTCTGCCGCCAATCAAATTAAACGCGCGTTGCCCACGTGATAAACAAGTGCTTTTGTCTTTCTACAATGGCTTCTAGGAAATTAGTAATTTCAAATTACCACTTGGGAAAACACTGAAAGGGGATAAAAAGACTATTATTGGTCTCCTTGCAAAACATTATAAAGAAAATTGGACCAGCCTTCCAGAACTAGATTTTTACAAAGAACAATTGCAGAAAGGTTCTTCCTCTTCCTTAGTAGAAAAAACCGTTGATGGTTTGGAAAGCTGCCAAAATGCCGAGGATGACCCTTGCAGAAAGGTTCTTCCTTTTCCTCAGTAGAAAAAACCGTTGATGGTTTGGAAAGCTGCCAAAATGCCGAGGATGACCCTGTTTTGTTCCCAAGAGTTTTCATTTGTTTTTTAATGTCTATAAGTACTTACTACGTACGTACAATATTTTGTATTAATAAAAATAAAAGTCAATAAATCCCTTGCCTTCGTTATTAAACTTTTTTTAAATTAGATTTATTTTCAAAACTGGCTATATGCAATAAACATTAATGTTTTTTCTAAAAATATGTTAATTTTTTTTTGGATGCAAACTTCTACTTTCCACTCCTATAAACCTTAAGCAACAATAATATATTTTTTTTTGAATGCGAAGAAAGCAGTATACTAACGTTAGTCGTTTTTTTTATTTTCAAAAAAAAAATGCATTCCAGCAAATAGCAAGTTTTGCAAATAATGGACTCGTATAGGCTCTTAAAGTTCAATTTGTGACAATATTTCCATTTTGACATCCTGTATCTTCTATTACAAAACACAAGATCTTCAATAAGTTATACTCTGGTCCCACAATCTTTCGTTGTCTGGGCAGTAAAATTAACTTATTTTTCTTTGTTTTTGATAATTACACTATGAAACTTGATACATTTTTTGAGTTTGATATTTTTCAATGTTTTACAAAATCCTGGCCCACAGTGCGTCGGTTATATGTTTTATTTTTGTGACATTTAAAAAGTTTTAATAATAAGTGTTAGATAATTATATTTACTAGATTTGAGTACATTTACAAATTAACACCAGCACCCTTGGTGCGATTCGTAAGTAGAACCTTGTCAAACGTCTCATAAATTGGAATATATAATATTCCTTTAAGAGTGACACACAGTATATGGCACACAATAAGGGGTTTGGTGCATCTTTTCGTAAGAACAGAATGTAGAGACTCTAATTTAGGGTTAGTTTTTAGTCAGATTTCTTGTTGAAATTCGAATGCATTCATTTCTCTCGTCTCCCACCTTCCGCTCGATGAAACGCAATCCTGGTTAAAATGTACATAGAGACCCCATATGGGTGTTTCTATAGGGTGTATCGGTATGTATAGGACACATAGTTGGGATTTATGGTTCTATAGGGATATCCTTCCTTGATTTATTTGCTTTTGGTCTCAATAGGGAAAATACACATAAAGGTAGAAATGTTTTCTCCCATAGGACCCCATAGGTTTTAACAAAATTTTGTCAAATGTTTTATGGTTGCTCTATATCCCTATATATCATTCCTTGAGTTATTTGCTATTGGTCTCAATAGGGGAAATGTAAGTTATGGTGTGCATATAGGTAATTTCCTATAAATTTTCTATTGAGAAGTATCCGGAAAAATCCATGGAAAAATGCACATATTGAGTCCGTTAGCGCCCGATAGATTATTTTTATGGGTCTCTATGGGAAGCGCTTTGGATTCGATTCGAAAGGTTCGAAGTATTCGAATACTTTGTTGAGAATCGAATGCATTCAAATGCACGTCAGAATCGAATTCTTCGATTATTTTTATTCAAATAGTCCCTTCACTAATATATATGTAGTTGTGAAAGTATTTGAGATGACATCTCTGAAACATTTATTTTAATAATAATAATAATGCTTTATTGAACTAAAACCAAGTTCAAAGGCTATTGACCGTAGTCCTTCAGCCGATTTATTTTAATTACTTAAGTAACGTCATCTCAAGTAAACGCACAGTTGTGTCAGTTTTATACCAACCTAAACAGAATATTATTGAGAAAGCTGGAGCTATATGGTGTTAGAGGAAATGCCTTAAAGTTGTTCGAATCATATGTAACAGATAGAGATCAAAAGGTAAAAATATCAAAAGGAGGTCAAAACTGGTTTTCGGATCTTGCCAAGTGTAATATGGGAATTGCTCAAGGAAGTATAGTGGGACCAATTTTGTTCGTTATTTTTCTAAATGACCTATGTTCAATCAGAGTTTCACCAATAGAAGGAATAATATGTTATGCCGACGACACAAACCTCACTACAAGTTGCAAGAATCTTAATAGCTTAATAGCAGCAGGGGATTCCCTCTTTAGTAGAGCTAGTAACTGGTTTATAGAAAACAAGCTAATCATAAATAAAAACAAAACAACTTCTTTAATTTTTAGAACAAAGTTAGCAAGACTTGATGAAACTGAAGTTGAAGTTGTAAATCACACCAAATTTCTTGGAGTTAGTATCGACGAATTTTTGGATTGGTCAAATCATATAATACAAACTGTGCAGAGGCTTAATTCAATATGTTATGGTATTAGAGTAATTTCCAAATACATGAATGACACCAGTTTAAAGATTTTGTACCATGCAAATTTTGAATCAGTTTTTAAATATGGAATTATTTTCTGGGGAGGGAATAGCTTAATAGATAGAATATTTGTAACTCAAAAAAGAATACTGAGGATAATAAAAAACATGACTTTTAAAGAAAGCTGTAGAGGTATATTTAAAACCTCAAACATTTTAACAGTTTATGCAGTGTACATATATGAATGTCTAATTTTCTTTTTTAAAAATAAAAATATGTTTGAATTACAAACTCACCATCAATACAATACCCGGACTAGAGATGTAAACTACCCAAATCATAGGCTAACCTTAACAGAAAAGAGCCCCTGTTACATGTGTCTCAAACTGTACAATAAGTTACCAAACAATCTAAAAACTATTGTAAGTCTTAGGACATATAAATCCAAAGTCAAAGAGATGTTAATAACTTACCATATTCCAGAACCATATTCTTTAAGAGAGTTTTTATTATAGAATTTTTGTTGTTATATATATATAATCTTAATATCTTATTATGACTGTATTTCGTTTCATGTTATTATTTTATACGCATGTATGAATGTAATTTTAATTTGATTGGAAATAAAGATTTTTATTATTATTATTAAACTATGTTAAATAAATTTAATGCTAGAATGTATGATACTCGTAACGAAAATGATTTCGTTTTTTAAATGTTTTGAAAACCTTGTTTTTTAACATTGAAAATTAGTTCCATAACCCAAAGATATTTTTTTTTAAGAAGTATTTTTAGAAGAATAGCTATGTATCAAGTTTATTTAATATATATTATTATATAATGTTATTTTTTAAATTTGTAACAAACTATTTTTGGGGATTTCATAGATATGAAAAACTTATTTTATTTACAAGAATAGTTAGAATTTAATAATGAATCATAATGAATAAAAAAACATCTGGGGATTTTTGTTTTTAATTCTTAAAAATAGGGGATTTAATTCAGATTGGGTAAATTCCACTGACTGATCTGGCAACCCTGTGTTCTGTAACTGTTTAAAGAATATATGTAATTCCACATTAGAAAGGTTATAGTCCATAATAGGAGTAGAAAAAATGAGTTAAAAAATTATTTCTACGCAATCTATGCAAAAATAATTGATAAAATTGTGTCTCTTACAAAAGTATTATTAATTAAACAAAAATTGTTAAAAATAAAAAAGTATCCTTTTAAAAAGCAGCACTGAAAAGACTTTAAAAGACTTTAAAAAATAAAAATCAACCAAATAAGTTGTAAAATTATTATAGAAAAAACTATAAAAAGCAACAAAATTGGGTGATTGGAACTTCAAAACTACAAAAATTCACTATTTTAAAAACATGTTTTAAATTATTTACTCTTACCTTGTTTTTCCAAATATTCATCAATTTTCTCATCATCCATGGCATCAACAGCCACTGATCTCCATAATTTTTGAAACTCTTCATCAATAGGCATACTAGCAGTCCTATCATTATAAAACAATATCTTTTTTTTATCAATTGGTCTTGTAATGTAAATTATTTCATTCTGATTCTGCAATATTTTTAACGCTTTTTCACAATGAGGCAAAGACTCTTGAACATCATCCAATAAAATACCTCCTAATCCTTTCAAATCCTGCTGTCGAAGCAGTTTAAGTAAAGCTTTGCGATCTTTTAACCTATACAAAGCTTTGAACAAAAACTTGTTATCTGGTGTCACCTCTATTTTAGGATTATCTACCAAAGCCTCAGTGGCTAACCACTATAGAAATAAGTAACTTTAAGCAAAATAGATATAATAGTAGAAATACTAACTTGTTTAACTTTGTTTCCAACATCCAGTTGATTTGTTTCATCCAAAATCTCCTCCAAAGTCAGAGGATATGTTTCTCCATCTTGATGCCTTGTTTTCATATGTTTTACAATTTTAGCTAGCACACCAAACCTGTACTGTGAGCTACCAGTTGCTGTTTTATATCTAAAATAACACAAATTAAAAACATACCTCAAGAGTTAACTCTAAAGTCTATATTTACGTATTTATATCTAACTTTGGAGCACTATTACTACTAGTCTTCTTTGGTTTTCTTTCTTCCCTAGGCGGTTCTGATTTTGTCTCGATTTTTTTCTTTTCAACCCTAAAATAAACGTGGTAAAAGATTAAATTACAAATTATATAAATATGGTTACGTTGGCGTATCTAATGCTCTCCTTTTAAAGAGCTCGCGCTCCCTTAAAAGTGCTGGATCCATATTAATTTCCTATAGATTTTCTTCGATGTTATCAAAAATAAAAATGTATTATTTGACAGCTGTCACCTTTGTTAAACAAAGTTTGTTTACAAGTTGTTAGGTTGACACTGACAACTTGACAGTGCGAAACAGTTGGCACTAACGTGAAGTTGATGGCGGTGCTGCCAAAGTTATCAGTTATATATAACTGAATTAAATGAATATTTTTGTCTATATTTATGCCTGAAATTAGTAGTGCAAAGTATTTTTATTGGCTTCATCGTTAAAATTATAATTAATTTATATTTAATAATTAAAAACAAAGAAGTTGAGGTTTATTTAAATTAATATTGTTGGATATCCCAACACTGCATGATACAACACTGTACTCTTTGCTTTAATGACAATTCTTCGCGGCCAACTTCACGGCACAAATATTGGATTGGGCAAATTTTCTCAAGTTCCAAATGATTGGTTGTTAATTTATCGCGCTAATTTTGTGAATAATAGAAAATTTCTAAGGATGTCCGCTTCGTTGTTTTTCGTGAACGCGTAAGTAGCATGACAGAGTTAAAAATTAGCAATAAAACAAATTTAAATTACGTAAATAATTTACAGCGGAGATTCGGTGGACGAAAAACCCGAAAAACAATGCGTGGACGAAAATTCTCAAACGCAGAGCGAGGCTCAACAGGCCCTAAACACATTTTGGCCGAAGGTTTTGGAAGAAATTCGCGCTATAAGAAACGTAAGTAATTTACAGCATAAACAAAATCTATTGCTAGAACTGAATGTTTGTCCAAGATTTTTTAAATTTTTAATAGTTTTGGCATTTTTATGAACTACAAAATAAAAACAAAAAAAAACAAAGCTATATCCCAGTAAGCACCAAGCACGTAAGGCAAAATGAGGTGTTTACGACGATAGAAGTAAAAAAACCAGAATACAATAATATTCGTTTATTTACATAGCAAAATGTTCCTAAATATTTAAAACCTTAAAAACAACAAAAAAATTGTAAAAAGGATAAAGACAGGGTTGAAAAAATGTTATATTGTTTGCGTGTTGTCAGGTACTAATGCGCGCAACCTGTATTTTGCCAAATTTAGCGCTAATACATTGTGTAAATTTGCAGTCACCGCGAAGTAAATCTAAAAAAAATGGAGGTGTTACCATGTTGTAACCCAGTCAACATTGTAACATAACATTAACCAAAATGTTATGTAATGATTGTGATGTGTAACATTACAATTACATAACCTGATGGTTGCAAATAGGTTCCTATTCTCCACTCATAGGGGTAACATTGTTACATAACAATGTTACATTGCCGTTATGAAAATAAAACATAACTGTAACATAACATTAAACAAAATGTTATGCAACAATCGTAATATGTAACATTACAATTACATAACCTGATGGTTGCAAATAGGTAACAATGTTACGTTGCCGTTACTTTTTCGCAATCCAAGTATAAACGCCATATTTTTACAAAATACAAGGCCTAGGCCTTGTATTTTGTAAAAATATTTATTTTTCTTATACACTGTGACCCATTTGTTTGCGACTCACCCCTGTAAAATCTTTATTTATTGTGCGATTTTAACCGGATTTGTTTTAAACTGTAGATCTTGATAAACTGTATTTTTGGAGCAAAATACGCCATATTAATATAAAATACAAGGCCTACTATGTCAGTTTTTAAGAGTAAATTTTTAAGAATTTATATTAGCGATTTAGCAAAATCTAAGCACGGCACTGGATTCACCCCCCTCAAAACCACCCTATACTTACTAAATTTTATTGGAAAATTTTAAGTAGAAAAATGCACAATAATAACTACAAAAATTTATTTTGTCAAGTTATCCATGAAAAAAACATTGAAATAAAATTAAATTAATAGTACCATGGTAAGTACCAATATAAATTCTTAAAAATCTACTGACATAGTAATATAAATTCTTAAAAATCTACTGACATAGTAGGCCTTGTATTTTTTACTAATATGGCATCTTTTGCTCCAAAAATACAGATATATCTATTTAAGGTGGTTTGGGGGTGTTTAGCTACTTTTATCGTTTGTATATAAAAACAATAAAAATAGCTAAGGAAAACACTGTTTGGACATTTGCCTATCATACATTTTTTTGACGCAGTAAATACATCATTTTGCCTTACGTGCGGCGGTTAGGCTTGCCTCCAGCCAGCCTGCTTGTGATCCGCGTGAGCAGTTTTGCTTTTGCTGTCAAAATGACAAGAATAGTTTTTGTTAGAAATTGGATGTAAGTAAAAAAATTGTTCCCTTTGAGATCTGCACAAAAACTGTCACAATTTTATATATTTTTTCTACTCCCACCTTTAAAACGTCACTTAGTGTCATGGAAACATGTACGATAATGGACGTCCATTATCGTACATGTTTCCATGACACTAAGTGACTTTTTAAATACACATTGAAAAGTTGTGGCTTTATGGCGTTTTACTCACGGGCTGAAGTTAGCAACAGGTTTTTAGTCACGGGCTGAAGTTAGCTTTAAGTTAGTTGACAGTTTTCAAATGTCATACAATCGTTAAAATAAAGTGCCCTTCTTGTAAAATAATACTAAATGTGAAAATTATTTTATTATCGCAATACAAAAATACAAAAGCATTAAATAGTTTCTCAACGCCAATATTTGAACAGTTTATATGAACATTGTACTGACCTTTTAATTTCGCCGAAAGTAAACTGGATAGGTATAACTTAAATTCGAGCTCGGACTCCACCGTAGTGATGGAAAAAAACGGTTCCCAATCCGGAACGTACCAGACCGTTCCGTTCCTAAAAAATCACGTACCAAAATCACGTGATTTCGGAACGCAGGGTAAATTATTTCACAATACATGCGAGTACGACACGACGTTGCAACGCGTTGCTTGGAGAAACGTCCCGGCAGCGGCGTTGACTCGACTGCATTTTGTCTGGCGCACCTCTTAGTTCTGTTGACCGCACCATAACAAAATTATTACAAAAATTAAATATTGTAACTTGTATTTATTTTTCTTGCTATTGAATAAAGACCATTCATAATTCAATATTATTCTACCGCTGCTACTGTTTGTTACTTTTGCTACCTATACACTATAAGGTTTAAGGAGGTCCCTACACTATCAATATTATTGCACAATGTTGTATTAAGCAATATAGTTAACAGTGTGTTGACAATATTGCTTAATTTATTTATATATATTGTCTCTATAGAGACAATAATTAATTTTTTGTGCAGTAATATTAAGCAAAAATATTTTTTGAACGTCTAGGGACCCCTTTAATACACAAAAACCTGTTGATTCCTTGAATGTTTTGTCTATCTATTTTTTATGCACCGTTTCAGCGGAACGATTCCACCCGCCTAGTTATATTGGTTATATGCACCGATAAAGTTCAGCAGAAATCGGCGCCGCAAAAGTCAAACAAGAAACGTTTCGAAACGAGGTAACTGCGCCTTGAAACAGTTCCGACATTAGCGACGTTCGTTCTGTTCCATGTTTCACGTCGTTCCCTTCCCACTCGCTCCGTTCACTCATTCGATGGTCGGATTCTCTGTTTCTATTCAGTTCGTTCCGCTGTCACATAGTTCCGATATATTTAGGAACGTTCCGGAACGTGATTTAAAAATAACGTTCCAAAATCACGTTACCAAAATCACGACCCATCACTACTCCACCGTGAAGTGCTCATAAAACATTTTCTTTACTTTCACTGAGAAAAACTCTTGTTAATCGATTTTCAACGAAAATATTTCGATTTATAACCTTTATAACACAGAAAATTTGACATTTGACGGTACCTAACACAGATTCCCCTATTGTTTTATAGATGGACAAATATTTGATTTAAATCATTTTAAGATAATAATAAGTATTTGTCGTAGAAAAAGTATGGTATGCAACTCGTTTATAAACTTTTCTAGACTCTCATTAATTTAAGCACTCGCTCGCAAGGTCGCTGGTGCCTAAATTAAATTCGTGTCTAAAATGGCGTTTATCAAACTTGATACATAATATACTATTAAAACTATTCGTATACATTACACAGTAACCTTATGTTATTAATTTACAAAATAGATGGAGCCTCATGGCAAATCCAAAACACAACTTAATATAGTATTTTTAATAATAACTAGCAGTTTTCCATAAGGCAGTTTACAGAATTATAGTTGTTTGAAATTCCATGTCCCCCATTGTACCAAAAATATATCTTATTACAAGCTATGATAAATAATTATCCTAGATTACAAGTAAATATCATTATCACAGAACACTATCATTATAACAGCGTTATCTCCGGACATTGCGACACACTAAGTATACGCTAATTTTGGAAAATGATTGTTCTTTAACTTTTTAAAAAGTGTTTTATGATTGCTTTTGTTTATTATAAATATTAAGTCTATTTGAGGAGGTCCATTCCAAAACTCGGCTTATCCACTTTTTAATAAAAATGAGTTAGTGGTGTCTGTACATTTAACATACTGCCCAACTATGGAGAAAGGCAGTAACTGCTAAACAAGAAATTTGTGGAAAATTAGCATAAACTACATTTTTATAAAAAGCAGTAGGTATTTAATTGATTTATTTAACTTATGAGATAGTTTACTTCATTTTTGTTGCATTGAGATACAAAATGTACATAGCTTTATCATAGCATAAGAAAACGTATTTAGAATTTTTTTGTAGTTACTGCCTTTCTCCATAGTAGGGCAGCATAATGTTCTAAAACTCACCTTATTTAATTTAAAATTCATTTACAAATTGACTATAGTTCCAAAACTTGCCTTATCTAAGGTTATATCATGTCAGAACTGGCTCATACGTATGTAATTTTAAATTATTTCAAATTGAAGCTATACCTTTTTAATCAACCCTTGAATAAACCGTCTGTTTGTGACATTTGTAAACGGTAGTTAGACGGTGAATTCACGCACTTTTCACAGTATTTTAATTGTGAATCCACCGTATTTTGGCGGTATATTCACGGTGAATTCACGGAGAATTCACAGTGAATAAACCGTGAACTCAAGGCCGCAAGGGTAACCAAGAAACCAAAATTGTTTAATGCAAGGGTAGGTATATCCTATAGGTTTAACACAATCGACTATAGCTAGCCATTATTCGTTACTGAGCAGATGAGGATGGAGATGGGGACTTCAAACAATTAATGTTCAGCTATGCCATTACAGTCGCACACTTCCAACTAAATATTGCAACCCAACGCTATTTATAGTTAGCTCGCTTGCGTAAGCAGCCGTGAGATGTATTGCTTAAACCGCTTAACACAGAAATCGACTAATAAAAAAAACCGCTAATAAATGGCGTCCAACTTGTTGTTTTTTTTCTTTATGATGGCGTATCAACCTCGTTGATTTTGCGCAGCTACACGAGAGCCCTCTTGCGATATTTGTATTGTATTGGGAATAACCAATTGTTCGAATCTTACACTTACAATTTGCGGTGTTTTCACAGTCAATTTACGGTGTTTTCACAGTAAACTCACAGCGCTTTTACGGTGAATTCACGGTGATTTCACGATAAATTTACGGTACTTTCACAGTGAATTTGCGGTGATTTTGCAAACTTGAGTTCACCGTAAATTTACCGTGAAATCACCGTGAATTAACCGTGAATTTATCGCAAAAACAGCGTGAGTTCACCGTTTAATTACCGTCTACAAATGTCACAAATGGACGGTATATTCACTGCACATAAACGGTGTATTCACGGTGAATTCACGCAAACGGTGAATTCCAACAGAATACTTTAAACGAAATATATAGGCATAAGTATAACATTTATATACCTTCCCTTGCGGCCTTAAGTTTACGGTTTATTCACCGTGAATTCACTGTGAATTCACCGTGAATAAACCGTGAACTCAAGGCCAATGGAACCACTACGGACTTGGCTTTTCAATGTCGTCGTTTATTAAATATGTACTGGTAGTTTATAACTTCCAGAATAACAATATAATGTTTAAGTAGGCAGGTAAATTTATAAACCCTTTAAATTTTACTGTTGAACTTGTGAAATTAGTTTTTGTAAAATAAATGCGCTTCATCAATATTTAAGTATAAACAAACTATTTGTTTAATAATGTTTATAAATAAAAAAATCTTAATATTTATTATTAATTTTTTATTTAATTATTAATACCGTCTATTAGCGACAAAATTACTATTTATTAAAAAGTAAACAACCATTTACAAACAATTAAAATAATTTATTATTTACATTACCACGTGGTACTGTACAGTAATTTACGATGTTTTCACAGTAAACTCACAGCGCTTTTACGGTGAATTCACGGTGATTTCACGATAAATTTACGGTACTTTGACAGTGAATTTGCAAACTTGAGTTCACCGTGAAATCACCGTGAATTAACCGTGAAATCACGGTGAATTCACGCAAACGGTGAATTCACGGTGAATTCACCGTAAACTCAAGGCCGCAAGGGTTATAGGGAGATTAATATAGATAAGTTTATATAGGGTGTTTCTTTTAACTTGAGACAGCTCAATATCTCGAGAAATTAGCATTTTACTGAAAAATGTCTTAAATAAAAGGTTAATGTGACCAAAGGGGACATTATTTGGTGCTACCGCTAGCCACCATCTACCCCTCCTTACGGGTGAAACGGGGGGTAACTTTGGAAAGTCAAATGGGATGACCCGATTTTTTTTTCACAGATTTTGGTTGTACATAAAAAAATTAATAACTTTTATTTGAAACTTTTTTTCAATTTATCAACAGATGGCGGTGTAATTCAAAATTTAAGAAAAATGGGTTTCCTTGTAAAATGTATTATTTGAAACGTTTGAAAAACAAAAATTAACATTAAATCAAAAATAGTCGGCTCTAAAAACAATTTATAACAAATGTTCGAAATGTCGCCCTTCCACTTCGACACATTTTTGAATGCGGGTAATGAATTCTGGCACACAACGCGCCAACATGTCGGGCGGTATCGCCGCACAGGTGTTCCTGATCCGCTGCACCATGTCCTCCCGAGTTGTAGGAATTGCAGCGTAAACTTTTTCTTTTAAGTTTGAATTATATCCAGTATCATTATTACATGAATTTGATTTACTAAATACGGAAGTAAAGTAATCGTTAATTTTGTCGGAATCCTTTAGAGATGCAGGAATATCTGGTTTACTTTTGTTATGAATATTTAAAGAATGCAGGTTGCGGATTTTTCGCGATTTAGCGACGAGCGTGCAAAATTACGCATAATTTTATAATTTGCTCATGATAAGCTAGTCTTATCAAAATAAAAATTCAATTTAAGCAGAGATGAAATTCAGTGTACAAACTTTTTTCAGATGGACTTAAAACAACAAGTTCTGCCTTTGGCTCGAATAAAAAAAATCATGAAATTAGATGAGGATGTAAAAATGATATCAGCCGAGGCCCCGTTATTATTTGCGAAAGCCGCAGAGATTTTTATACACGAGTTGACTTTACGAGCGTGGATTCACACTGAAGATAACAAACGCAGGACTTTGCAGAGAAACGACATCGCAATGGCGATAACAAAATACGATCAGTTCGATTTTCTTATTGATATCGTTCCCAGGGAAGATATTAAGCCCGCCAAGGTCCGGGAGGATGGACAGAGGCCCAGTAGCCAAAATGAGGTAAAAAGTTTATGGAATTTTGTCTAATTTTCTGTTTTATTGGCTTATAGTGATTTTAAAACTACCCTGATGAAAAAGACGGGTAATATCGGATGATTGTGGATAAAAACCAAGCTAGTTTTATATCAATTTATATGTTTTTATCCGACATATCGTTTTTCATCTACAATTGCGTGGTATAAATATTATCCGCCAACGTCAGGTTTTTATCTATGTAGTTCTATGTCTGCTTTGGTCTGGTTTCATCCGCAAATACCTGTATTTGGGTTTATATCTGCATTCACCCTGTTTTATCTGCGTTTGCCTTTATTTACTTATTTGCCTACTTTCATCCGCGATTATCTGATTTTATCTGGTTTCACTTGCAAACATCTGCGAACGTCTGATTTCATCCGCAAACGTCTGCTTCATCCGATTACACCTGCAAACATCTGCTTTTATACGCGAACATCTACTTTCATCCGCGAACGTCTGCTTTAATCCTCAAACATCTACTTTAGTCCGCAAAAGTCTGCTTCATCCTATTTCACCTGTGAACATTTGCTTTTATCCGCGACGATCTGATTTTATCTGTGAACGTCTGCTTTAATCCGCAATCATCTGCATTTATCCACGAACGTACTTTATTCCACAAATATCTGCTTTAATCCGCATCTGTGAACGTCTGCTTTAATCCGCAATCATCGGTTTTACTCCGCAATTATCTGATTTCATCGGCAAACATCTACTTTAATACGCAAACGTCTGCATAATCCGATTTCACCTGCAAACATTTGCTTTTATACGCGAAGATCTACTTTCATCCGCGAACGTCTGCTTTAATCCGCAAACATTTGTTTTTATTCGCAAACATCTCGGCCATTTTAAGCATACGGACGGGACAAATCACAAAACTGTTTTTATAAAAAAAATTGTAGGTAATTTATTATACAAGGTGTCCCTAAACTTAGTGGCATAAATTTAGGAGCAGATTAAGCCATTCAAAATAAGACGAAAATCTAAATAAATATTTTTCCTAATTAAGTATGTTTAAAAGATACAGGGTGATAAAGTGTTACTTATCATATCAGTTTTTTTAATATAGCTTCCACTATGGTAGACTTGGAAAGGTGATATTTTGCGAACAGTCACTTACTACCAAAACACATATTCACACATAATTACAATTGCTCGAGTTAGTTTGAGAGGTACACCTTTTTAATAGTAGCCGAACTAAGTAATCGAAAAATTGCATTAAATGGTATAAAAACCTAACCTGTTGTATGGGACAATAAGATTAAAGCAACCCCCGTTTCTACGACACTGGGTTCACTCAAACAATTGTAATTATGTGTGAATTTGTGTTTTGGTAGTAAGTGACTGTTGGTAAAATATCACGTTTCCAAGACTACCATAGTAGAAGTTATAGTAAAAAAACTGATATGATAGGTAACACTTTATCACCCTGTATCTTGGAAACATAAGTAATTAGAAAAAATATTTATTTAGGTTTTCGTCTTGTTTTAACTTGCTCAATCTTTTCCTAAATTTATGCCAATAAGTTTAGGGACACCTTGTATATTATTTTTGCATCAAAATTATCAAATATATTTTTTCTACGACCACTATGTAAAAGTCACTTTTCATGATGGCATCCACCCTGATGGCATCGTTGCTTAGAAAATGAACAGGGTTCCCTCTCACCTGGAAATCCTTGAAAACCTGGAATAGTCAGGGAATCCGTTTAAGTCCAATAAAATCAGGGAAAAGTCAGGGAATTTTGAAAGTCAGCGCAAAAGTCAGGGAATTTGTTAATATTATGGTAAAAGTCAGGGAAATTTATAAAACGGCTTGTTTTCTGACCCTTTTTCGTTGAAAGTCGCCGTATTGGCAACACTGGTATCGAAAACAATTGTTTTCGTACGGCGCCGCCGTAACGGCGGTAATTATCAAGGATTTTACACAAAAAAATTTTACACACTAAAAAATCGCAAAGCAATGCACCTGATAAACAAACTAACAATTAACAATAATAAGTTTGTTGTGCATTGCTTTGATGAATATGGTATATTTGTATAAATGTATACCAAAGAATCTATTTTATGTTAAACTGTTTTTATTAAAATTTTATTTTAATTTTTATTATATTTAATTTTAAATAAATATTAACAAAAATAAACGCTATTTTTACTTAACATAATTCTGATGGGACACTATTTTGGGAGATAATTGTCTTTATGCGAGGGGTCAACCACTAGCCTGATATTTGTACACGTATTGCCGAACCACCTATACTGACTAATTACTGCCTTTACTGCCTACTTACTGCTTATACTGACTAATTACTGCCTTTACTGCCTACTTACTGCTTATACTGCCTTCTTATTGCCCTTACTGCCAATTTACTGCATATACTGCCTATACTGCCTATTTACTTCCAACATTGCCCAGTTACTGCTTTTACTGCCCACATAATGTCCATGGTATATACACATATATACATAGTATATACATGTGTGTAGTTGTGCATTATGCATGTTTATGAAAAAAACACATCAGAATTTTAAGAATGTACCTAATTTATTTGTTCCTTTTTTTACACTTTAAAATATTTAAAGCTATTAGGTATATACTTTTTTTATTGCCAGCCTACCTTTTCTCGTTAGTTGAAACGGGTCGTTTCCTAATAGTTTTATGGGACCATATATGATATACCGGTTATCAACTGTTTGCAGGTCTTCAACTTTTGGCCATACAAAATCATCTAAATAAGATTTCAAAAACTTAATTTTTGATGTGTTTTCATCAATACGTGTAATTACTCTACCAATATACCAGCTATTGTCGTAATATACACAATAATATTCTTCATTTTTAACTTTTATAAAGTTGCCCGAAAAGTTGCCTTTATCCTCGTTTGATGCAGGTATTAAGTCGATCTCTGTATCCGAAAACGTTTCACTTAAGGTCTCACTTTCGCTTGCATACTCTACATCATCATCTACTTCTGATGACTCCGAAGACATCGATGAAAGGTCACTTTCATTTTTGGTAATTTTTGTAGTTCTATTTTTAGCATTTTTTCTAGCATTTTTTAGTTTAGTGCTCGGTTTAGTGTCCAGCTTTGATTTTGTTTCTTGTTCTTTTATGATTCTGGAAGTTTTTTTTCTAACTTTTATTTCAACAGAATCCTTTTTTGATTGTTTCTTTTGTTTATTATTTGGTTGGGTACTGGTCATTCCTCGTACTCGTAATAATCTGTCGGACGACAGTCGTTTTGACTGTTCACTAAAAAACCAACAAAGCGACGATTTTCTAACAGTAATTTCTTTATTATTACGTAATCTTACGGTTAGGTATGGAGTACTGGAAGAACTACTAATATTTTTTTTATGAGACTGTAAGTCATGCTGGGAATAGTCCTTTAGGTATAAATTATCAAATGTCGAAAATAATGTAGATTTTTCAGCTGTATCCGGTTCTTCAATATTTTCCTGATCAGACACTTCCATTTCTCCAAATTCGATATTCTTCTCCAAGTCACTTTCCGAGTCACTTTTATTTTTTTCATCTTTGTCTTCATTTTTCTCATTGTCTTTCAAAACTGATACGGAAATGGTTTGAAAAACTTTTTCCGGCGAATTCATTGACTGGTTTTCATTTAAGCCTCGATTTAAGTCCTCACTAGATTCCAAGAAAGAGATTCCCAACGCAGTCAATTCTTGTAATGCGTTATTTTTTGCGGATTCTATAACTTCTTTGATTTCAGCTGAGGATGGTAATTGCTTTGGATGTTCAGTAGTATTTCTTTTACCGCCTAATCGTTTATTATCCTCTCTCGGGAAACAAAATTTATCACCTGCAAAAGATAAAAATATTAATTTAATAAAAAGAGCCACATGTGACCATGAATTACTTAAATCACTGCTAATCTCATTTATAGATTGAATTTTATTAAGTCTTCGTAAAATATCTACTAAGCAATAGTTGACTACTGTCGAATATGTGCTTGTCATAGATCTATTCTGTCGAAAGATTTTTTCGCAGGGTTGACTACTGTAGAACCAAGGTAAAAATGTAGCAACAGAATCGTCTTCTCTACATTTTTGTATTAAAAGTATTAGGCTATGAGCATTAATCTCAATGCAAGTGTATGTATTTAATGTGATACAATTATTTTGAATGCTATAGCCATTTTGCCGTATCCAGAATCTCCATCCTCTAATGAAAAAAACGCAATACCACATATTATAAATTCGTTCGGAAATATCCAGGTCCTTATTCAAAAATGCATCAATAATGTATCTTGTTATGAGCAGAAACTGTCTTGTGGCTTGAGCGCCAGATATCCCTTTCATTAAATCTATTACGCAAAAAGCAGTCATCTTATCAATTGCATCAAAGTTCATCTTATCGTTACCTAAAAAATAATTCGTTCAATGTCTAATATATTAGGACAAAATAAAGTCATACTTTCTAACATCGACCTGCAGAGAAGGTGTTTATCTTTCGAATAATTATCAATTAAAAATTCGACATGTTCTTTAGAAACTTGATGGGACCCCATTGGCATAATAATACCTGGTTTCAAAAGCCTTGTTTTTAACTTGGTGGCTATATGCACTGTATCTTGAAGTACTACAGGTTTTTCCAAGTTAAAATCAGCCTGCAAAATAGACATTTAAATTTTGATCATGTATAGGTACTACCTACCTTAAAAAAAGACTCATAAGGACTGAGTAAAAATCAGAAAATTTTGTTTGATTTTGATGTAAAGCAACAGTATTCAACATCCTACGGTTACGTTGATGACGACTCCTAGGATTTTCGTTAAAGCGAGGATTGAAGCTTTGTTTAGGTGTTGCTTGCAGCTTTGAATATAACGCGGAGGTGCCCGCCCGAGTTTCCCCCTCTAAGTCACCTCCACCCTCCTGAAAAAACAGTTCATTTTCTAAGTCGTCCACAGTAATACGGTCCTGGGAAGAATCTTCCGAGCTAATACATAAAATATTTTCCTGGCC